CCAGCATGCTGGCTGGGGAATTCTGGGAGTTGAAGTTCATGCAGCTTAAAGTTGCCAAGGTTGAGAAACGCTGGTGTAAAGAATCCATCTTTGGCACTTATGGAACAAATCATATCTCACTCCATATAGTTAGGGAATCACCACCGTAAGTTATTTTTCCACCGTAGATCATAAAGCACCAGTTCTTTCCCTGGGGGGAAAACATTAAGATTCCTGATGGTATCACTTCCTTCAAAATGAAGGGTATGGCTTAGTTATTAAAAATAAAAGATTTATGATGTCTTCTATGTGTGTGCTCTCTGAGGCTTTCTTCTCTTATGGAAAGAGCAGTAATGTACGTGTGGTGTCAATGTGGTTGTGTTGTTATCACAACATCTTAACAGCTGCAGTCTGCAATATTGAAAGGCGGGAGGGTCAAGATATTTTTAAAAACAGTTCCAGACCTATTTTATGGGATAATCCAACCAGTCCCAGTTCAAAACGTATAGCTGAATAAGTACTTCATCTGATAAAAGCAGCCAATGATGAAAAATAAATGGGAAATGGTGAATACAAAGAAGGCTTTTTATTATTTCAAATTAAAACAAGTATGGAAGAAGACTCCTAGGCTTTTTTTTTTTTTTTTTTAATTTTTTACAAAGCATGTTATCAAGAAGAGGTTCATATCGGGGCCTTCTAAAAGAGTCCAAAACAGAAGTGATGCCATTTTTTCAAAAATGGGAAGAATGGGTTTTCTCTTTAAATCACAAAACTTCTGACCATGCTGTTTTGGTGGAGGGGTGCAGGTGGTCACTTCTCTTCTTAACTCTGCAGCAAAGACAGAAGAAAGCAGAAAGCATAGGACCTTTGCAGTAGTTTTTAAAAGCCAGATTCCAACAGATGTGGGGGAGAAAAATACCATCCCTGCTACCTCTTTATCCTTTAGAAATGTTTTCTTACCTGCACGTCATGACTTCAACATTCCATCCTTCCCAGTCAAGCTTTATCCCCATGGCAACTGCTTTGTAGTGATGATGACTTTCAGAAGTCCTGTAAACAAAGTGTCCCCCCCCCCCACCTCCCGCTGAAAATGTGCAGCTTAAACCACTAAAGAGCCATATTGGAGGCTTGGAGCAACAAACGCTGCCTTGTAAATAATAACACAATGGTTTACTAGCCTGCAACTAACTTTTTTTAGCTTAGGTTTGCCCTCTGCCTTCGGCAAAGCAGCTATTTCGGCAACGTAGCTTGCCTGATGCTTAAGGGAATGAAGAATTCTGAGCCAGCACGGTATGGGGGAAGGCTGTTTATTTCCTCTGTGGCTCACACAGAAACTAGCACCTGGCCCGTTCACTTGCTCTGTCTTGACTGTAAGGTTGCATTAACAGAATCTTGCAGGGCTGAAAGTATTTCTCCCCTCCTTTCCTTTTGCTCTCTGCGGAGGGTCCCTTCTGAAATGTTTCCCACACCTTCCCTCCTGTGGGCTGAGACGTCTTTTACGTGCTGGTTGTCCCATCTGGGGCTCTTTCTCCTGTCTCCCAAGGTTATTCCCACACACCACTGCACTTCCCTTCCCTTGAATCAGTTCCCTTGAGCGGTGCTGTCATGTCACTTATCGAAAAGTTGAGTTGGGTCGTTCGTATTTTGCTCCCAGCAAAACGGCAACGTCCTAAAGAGGCTGGCGTCGTTCGTTTGCCTGTGGTTTGAACGCGGCAAATCCCGTGATCTCCTCTGAGCTGTGGTTTGAACAAAAAACATTTGCAAAAATGAGTAGGGTAATGCTAGACAAAACCAGAAATGATCTATGCATCATGAGGGAATAATTTAGAAATGTACCTATTTTTGCCAGTTATCCCTTAGGTTGTGGCTGCATTAGCAGATGATGAAAATGAAAGTTTGGGTATCTGTGTACATGAGTGTATATGGATATATGCCTTCTTCGTCCTCCACTTTTCATTCAGAGAAAAAACAGGGACAAGTTTATCACTTATCCATAACGAGATCTCTTGCGGACAGAACCCAAAGCTTTTACTGGACAGATGGGCATTTGGGTGTGGATTCCTAGTATAATTATTTGATTTATATCCCGCCTTTATTTTGTGCATCTCAGTGCAGCATACTTGAAGCTCTTGCCTCATTTGCCCCACAACCACCACCCTGTCTGGTGGGCTGGGATGAGAAGGAGTGACTGGCCCAAAGTCTTCCAGCTGGCTTTCTTGCCTAAGGCAAGATTAGAACTCATGGTCTTCTGGTTTCCGGTCCAACATCTTAACCACTACACTAAGCTCACTTTCAGTAATGGCAGCTGAGAAGCAGGGCACGTTCTACCATTAGGCAGAGTGACTGGGTCACCAAATGGGAGATGCTAGAATATAGGGAAATGGGGACAGTGTGATGGAGGATACAGCTGTGAGCCCCACACCATCTGCTAAAATTTCTGTCTTTGGGTGTTGGAATAGATGCTGTCTTGTTGCAAGTTGCCAATTTACAACTGGTTTCTCTTCATGGAAAGGGGAGGTCCCATCTTGGCTTCTGCCCCCAGCAGAAAAATATCTTGGACCAGGTTCTGCTGGCAAGACAGTCGCTACCTGCACAACTCAAAACTTTCTACTTTGCCATTTTTTTCCTTGCCCTAGGAAATTGCCAGTAAACGTCACCATCTGCTCGTCCTTCAAGATCAAGCCTTTAAACTCACCATTATAATTGAGGAGGAAGGGCTGGGCTCCTAACCAAATAAAGGATATTATTAAAGGCAACCCTTACATGTTAGCTTTAAATGAATGATCTTGCCAAGGGAAATGTATAGTTTTTGGAAAATTAAAATGTTTTGATGGGAGAGGAAAAAATTAACCTTGCTTCTTTTTTCCTCTGATGATCATAATGTTTTTAAAATGGTTGTAGATAAACCTTTCTAGTTTGCCTCCCTTCCCTCACCACCCATATTAACCTTACTTTCTGGTGCTAATTAAAAAAGGAACAGTATGAAGACTGGTGAACCAAATACTTTTAGCATGTCTTGTAACCGAGCTTCACTCCTCACTGTCTTCTAGATAGAATGTAGAATAGGGGAAAAAACAGCACCCATCTATGTCCTTCACAGTCCCCTTGAAATTAATGGAAACTCTACTCAGACTTTTTCAAAACTCTAGTTTGTTTTTGTGGGAAATGACTAGGAAAAAGGTTCCAACATTCTTGGGATGAGCAACGAGGTGTTGGATCTGGTTTTTTGATTCCTCAAACTATCAGCTTTCAATTGGTTGTGTTTTGTTTTGATTGAGCCTTTAGCTCTCAAACTTTTCAGAAGTGGTAGGTGGGTAATGCCTGCTGAAATTTCAGTTGGCTTTAAAATAAGAGTACAACCCAACTAAATAGTCCACTGTTCTGAATAACAACAGCAACAGCAACAACAATAATGATATAAATAATTTGCAGGAAATGTGTACTGGTTCCAGAATTTAACATTTCCCAGTGTAGAATCTGGAATGCCCAAGTCAAGATTTCATTTCTCTGAAATATGGGGTGTACACAACTTTTGCATTAATGAATTCATTCTTTTTGTAGAAGCAGTTCAAGTCTGAAGACCCAGTTCTTCCATAAAATATTAGATTATTTTGTAATGTCTTCACCCAGCATCCCAGCATCCTATTCAAAACCTATCCCTAGAATTATTATATTTTCTCCATACAGGAAGGGAAGCTGGCCATACTGAAGAGGAAAGGCAGATCATGAATCATATCTCTGATGGACTCCATTGTACTATGAGAGGCTGCAGAGACAGATAAGTCAGAAGCTGGTATGTGGTTATGTATCAAAAGCATGCTACTGGAGGAAGATAATGCTGACCAGGCAACCTTATCTCCCTCTGCTATTCCTGGGAGAATGAAGAAGATCAAAGCTGCTTATAAGTCTGGCTTTCTTGGTTTCAGGTAAACAAGTGACTAAGTCTTTGTTTGCAACTGCAATCACCTACTTCTCTTGAACTTTGTAGATAACAGAGTTTGCATAACTTAAGCCCAAAGAACTTGAGACACTTCCGACATAACTGAGATATCAGATCACATCCTACTGGCCCATGTAATTTGCCCTGGAAGAAAAGCTATACTGCAGGTACTGGACTAGGTGAGGATAGCAGGAAGAGGACAAGGATAATGCTTTTTAAGAGCTTCTGCAAAAGTCCCAATCTGTATTACTCTCTGCTTTTTCATCTTTAAAGAGTCATTCATGAAATTGCCTTTTATCTGAATGGCATCTCTTCTGTTTAGAATTACTGCTGAAATGAATTCAAACCATTCTAAATAAAGCTCTTAGATCAATAGCAGCCAAAGAATTTCAGCCTTTTTGTTAAGATAAGCAAAAAGTTAGTTGCACACCTCTTTAAGGCTGGCACCAAATTCCATCAAAAACAGAATCTGTTTCTTAGGAGTTTCATAGACAAGAGCTAGGTCAGGTTAGACCTAGGACCATCTAGCTCAATAATGCCTACATGAATTCTGCTTAGGAATGATGAATTTTGTGGCCCAACCTGTATAGAGCACATCACATTTGCAAAGATTGAACTCTGCATATTAATACTAGCTCTCTGGGTCTTCAGAGAAAGTTCTTTCTCAGCCATACTTGGAAAAACCAGGACTACATCAGGAGTCCAGCCTGGATATTATATATGTATGGACAATGGAAAAAAAAACAAACTTCTCCAGATAGGACCATAGCTGGCACAGCAGTCTAGATATCAGTAAAAGGTGTTCTGTGTTCTTGCTGACATCTGAGTTTCTCCAAGTAGTGCTAACCAAAAAAAATGAGGAAGCCTCACATGTTTCAGAAAATTCCTTTATCAAGAACACTTTGCATTCTTAGTCAAGGAATTTTCTGAAACATGTAACTATCCTATATAATAAAAGATTTCCTACTGGTACTTGAGATATGTTATGCTTGAGCCCAGACAATCTATCCAACTAGGTCCTTCAGTAAACCTCTACTCTGAATACAGGTTTGTTATCACAGCATCTCCACCTTTTCAGATTAGATTTGAAAATGACAGAGTTGCATATCATCCACTTATAGACATAGAGAAAATGCTTCAGAGAAAGAAACAATGATTTTAAAAGAATGCTATGAAATGTTGAGTTTTCCAAATGCTTGGATAGATGACACTTTTTTTACTGATAACTTCATGAGTCTTTACTTTTAAAAGTTTTGAAATTAGTTAATATTTAAACAAATTCCTTCCTTTCCTTCCTACTTTTTTGGGGGGGAGGGGGGGAGTCACAACTCAGTTGACCACACAGAAAAACAACAGCGGTAAGAGCCCAGGTTCCACATTCATCTGCCAAATCCTTCCAGTTTCTCTTCTTGCTACCCTTTTGTAAATGTCTGTTCCTATCTGCCTTGCATTTCTCACTTTTTTCCATATATTTCTATTATTTACTTACTGGGTATTAAAATGAATCCATGTGCTGCAGTGAAGACTCTTCAGGAACATCTGGGTTAACATCCTTAACGGCAAAGTTGAACAGCTGGAGTACACTGTGCCAAACAGCTCATACCACTTTAGTGGACACAGCTGAGGAGCTAAAGCCAATGACAGCAATGAAGGATGATACCATATGAACTGTAATCCATGAAGAAACAGAAGGGATATCATATGGCTACTGAGGGTGGTTAAAATTGGAAGCTCACATTTGTTAAAGGAAAAATTGTCGCAAAAACATAGGATATACACTGCTGTAATCCTTAAAATGAAGATTGCATATGGTTTAGACCAGTATTTCTCAACCTTGGCAATTTTAAGATGTGTGGACGTCAACTCCCAGAATTCCCCAGCCAGCTAATGAGGTCCACACACCTTAAAGTTGCCAAGGTTGAGAAACACTGGTCTTGTTATAAGCACAAAAGAAACTAGGGAAATGTCATCAGTTTGCTTACTTTTAATTATATTTTTAGCACCAAAGTAAAGGAGGCATGCCATTCTGTTCTAGAACAGTTCCTGAAGCCATCCACCGCAGTGCTCTTATTTTGAATTAGTATTTGACTCACTGGCTGGCTTCTCAACTAACACAGACTCCTGGGGTCTTCTTAATTCTAATTTAATATTGATGTTTCTTTTGGAATTCAGAAGATGGTTTGACAGTTGTCGGGCCTTCGGGCAACTTCCTGAAGTGAAAACGATTTTTTTCCCAAGCACAAACCTCACAGCATTCTCTTTCGCAGGATTATTAAGATGAAAAGGAGGATTGAAAAGAAGTCCAGGAATTGAAGTTAATTTTCAGTGTATTTAGTCAGGAGAATCTACAGGGTGGGGTATAAAAGGCAAGATGGCACTTCATACATGTGAATGAAGCCCCCATCTCTTTTTTACATGCTTCGTCACACATAAAAAGGGGCAGGGCTTCAATTATGTGCTCATGGTCTCCATCTTGACATCTTGACTCCTATGGGTGCTCCTGAGTAGTATGCATTACAACTGAGACTTTCTGAGCTTTCTTCAAACCATCCTCTAAGGTACCAGAAGTGATGGAAAAGTGGCTGCCTTCACTGATAAGAGAGAGATCTGGTTGTTTACCTAACAGTTATCTGAATCTTTATCAGTGGGAGAACAAACCATATAATGACACTGTTGTTCTGCCTCAAACTGAGCTAATGTTTGCAAATTTTGTTGCATAGAACCTGTGGACCCCTTGGGGTTCTCTGAGCTTAGTTGTTTTCTTGCAGACATTTTGTTACCCGTCTAGGTAACATCTTCAGTGCTAGAACCCCACTCCCTTCTAGCTCTGGAGATGTTACCTAGATGGGTGATGAAACATCTGCGAGAAGACAAACAAGCTCAGAGAACCCCAAGGACTCCACCGTTCAACCCTAAGCTGCACATATTCTCTTCTATTGATACCACATAGAACCTATATAATGACTGACCCATAAAACAAATCTGAATATCATGCTCTGATTCCCCCCCCCCCTTGAGGAAGGGGTATTTGAAGTTTGGGACTGGACTTTGTCCAAGGGCTGCAAATTTAGGGGCCCTGGACCATTTTTACTCACATTTCACTTTTATTGGAGTTGTTTTTGTAATGCATTTTTTCTTCAACCATCAGACTTTCTTTAGATGTACTGTACACTTACACAATATTTGAGGGTGATTAGGTCTTCATAAGAAGACTTAACAGCAAGGAGGATTAGCTTCAGTTTAATTAATGTTTTCTTTCCTCTCTGTAAAGGCACAACTTCTATAGTTAAATCACCTTTAACCTCATATGGATTAAAATTAACAAATACCTTATGTAAACTCTTAGATTTTTAACTGTTTAAGCATTAAAAAAAAATCAACTGTGGTGTTGGAAAAGGCTCCTGCTCATTCCTTGGACAGCAAAGGTGACAAACAAGCAAGTCCTGGGGCATATAAAACCAGACATATCACTGGAAGGCAAAATCACAACATTTCACCTAACTTACAGTATTTCAGCCATGTCATGCAATCAAACTCACTGGAAAAGGCAGTTATGCTTGGAATGGTCAGCTGTAAAAGGAAACGAGGTTGCCCAAAAACATGGTGGCTAGACACCATCAAAGCTGACACCAGCCAGAGCCTTAAAAAACTGAAAGAAGTGGTACGAGATCAGAAAATGAGGAGAGAGCTGGTCCATAGAATTGCCGAGAATCAGACACAACTGAATGGATAGCATCATCATGTATAGTTAAATATTAGAAACTCAAATAGCAACACAGTTTAGGGATTAACTAATCCTATTTTTATCCTATTTCTAGAATGCAGAGCAGTTTACATATAAATACCACAAGAAATTCCCATTAGTTATCTTCTAGGACAGTGTTGTCTAAACTTGGCCACTTTAAGATGAGTGGACTTCAACTCCCAGAATTCCCCAGCCAGCATGCTGGCTGGGG